CGGAACCAAACCATACCTATAGGTCCCATTCTGATACAATAAAGCTCATTCTAACCCAATAATGCCCAATTCGAAGAAATAAAGCCCAAAACTCTTTCCAAAGAACTGATGGCGCCAAAATCAGACGAATCAGGTCCTATCCGACACCATAGGGAATGTTCCGACACAATAAGTCTCATCCACCACGTGGCCACCATGTGGACTCCTCGTGGCCATCACGTGATCATGTTATATCCCGACAAAACCCTCTGCCTTTTATTATAAATATATAGTTTAATATCTATAGTTTAGGCCTTGTAACCGTCTCTTTCTAAAAAAAGGCCTATTCGGCTCCTTTTCTCTCTTTTACGCTCGAAGGACACGGACAGCTCGCGGTACGCCTTATGCGCCGCGTAGACAAAATACATCTAACCGACAATCTTTTCCGCTGAGTCCAGAGAATTATCGAACAGCATATATATATATATATATTCAATATTCAATAATTAAATAGTTAAGATAGTAAAAATTAAGACCTTCCAAATGCGAGGACGAACCTTTTATTTTTCTCTTTTATCAATAAAATCAAAATCTATTACAAGTATAAGATAATGTATATATATGTCGCGTATATTCAAGTAAGACGTAGCATTATTAAATTATGTAAGTTCACATACAACACATTCGCCTCGCATAAGGATATTAATTAAGTAAGAATTTAATTAATTAAGTAAGAATTTTTATAAACTATTAATATAAGACTCGCAGCGCCGGGAGTGGGGCTAGCGCGGAGCCCTGCCGCGCGTTAGGAAACCAAGCGCGAGCATAGCTCTCATCGAATTCCAATGAATGCTGACTAGATCATTTTTTTTGGTATAAAAGGAGGTGCCAAAGACAGACACGGAGAGTCTAAGAAAAAACTTGAGAGCGAACACCAACCTAGTCAGAGTAAGAGCTATCCTCGCGCTAATTCCTCCGAACTTATATTCCTACACTGTAACATATTTTTCCTTCTTTATTAAAACTTTATTATACGGAAACTATTCGGCCGAAACCTAGATCTCTTCTCTTCTTCGAGTCCGTTCAAGTATACATCCGGGAACGGTAAGACTGTCGCTGCCAATAGCGTGGCCCCTGTCTAAACTGTTCTACGGAAAATTGTTATTTCAAGAGTACTTTGAGAAATTGTCACGACCAGTCGCTGCCAATGGCGTGGCCCCTCGTCTAAGTGACAGTTCCTCAAAAGAAAGACGAAATCCGAAGAGTTGTCACGACTGTCGCTGCCAATGAGCGTGGCCCCCGTCTAACGACAATTTTTTCGATTCGCAATAATTGTGCCGCGTTATTTCTATGCCTACCAAAGGCGGTCGCAGAGTAAAAGAGAAGAGATTGAGGTTTCAGATAAAAACAGCAATTCATTCAAACAATGACCCTTTCCCACATTTCCAAAATTTGGCGCAGTTATTAACCCAGAACAACGCGGTAACATCGCCTAACGAAAACGAGTATTCACTCCAACCGTTGGAGACCAATTATCAATTCCCCGACTATCGAGCAATTCAAAAGAGTGATACGCAAAGACTAGCTTATAAACTTCGCGAGCTTTTCGGCACCGGGTTTGAAACCACCCTCCATACCAACAATCCTACTCTCCCCACCGAACAATCCTAAAACGCACACTTGATCTCCTAATCCCTGGGTAAATTGCTTCGATGCATTGACCCTAAAACAGGAAATAAAATATCGGGAAATAAAAACCTCGGTCCGAACGTAACAACCACCACGTGGCCACCACGTGACTACCACGTGGCCATCACGTGGCCATCACATCGCCATCACGTGACTACTACGTGACCATCACGTGGCCACAATGTGGCAATCACGTGGCTATCACGTGGCCAACACGTGAACTCCTGGTGGCCATCACGTGGCCACCACGTGGACTCTTCGTGGCCATCACATGTACGCCACGTGGCTACCAAGTGGCCACAACGTGGCTACCACGTGGCCACAACGTGGACTCCTCGTAATCATCACGTGGCCACCACGTGGCCATCACGAAGTCTCCTGGTGGCCATCACGTGGCCATCACGTGAAATCTTCGTGGCCATCACGTGGCCATCACGTGGTGGCCTTGTGGTGGCCACGAGGTGTCCACGTGGTGACTACGTGGAGTACACGTGATGGCCACGAGGAGTCCATGTGGTGGCCACGTGGAGTACACGTGATCGCCACGTGGAGTACATGTGTTGGCCACGAGGAGTCCACGTGGTGACCACGTGGTGGCCACGTGGTGGCCACGAAATGGCCACGAGGGATACACGTAATGGCCACGAAGAGTTCACGTGGTGGCCACGTGGGGGCCACGTGGTGTACACGTGATGGCCACGAGGAGTCCACGTGACGGCCACGTGGTGGCTACGTGTTGGCTACGAGTTGTCCACGTGGTGGCCAAATGGTGGCCACGTTGTCGGGGACCAAACCTGATTGGGGCAAGGTCGCAATAATCGCGCTTCAAACAATCCCATATGGACCATTCCGACTCCAAACGGCTTTACCCGACTCAACCAGGACCAATTCGATGAAATGAGAACATTTTTTTTGAAAAAATCGAATTGATTGCGCTAAAATCCCAATAATTAGCACAAACCGAAGTCATAGGACCCATCCCGACCCAATAAGAACCAATTCGACGAAATGTGGCTCTATTTCTTTGAAAAAAAATCAAGCCGATTGGGACAATATTATAATAATAGGCACAAACCGACCCCATAAAACTCATCCTTACCCAATAAGAATCAATTTGACGAATTCAGGACCAATATTTTTCGAAAAAATCTAACCGATTTTCTGAAGTCCTAGTAATCAGGCCCAATCCGACGACATAGGGTTTATTTCGACACAATGAAACCCAATTCGACAAAATTAGCCCCCATTTTTTTTTGAAAAAATTAAACCGATTTGGCCAAAACCGACATCATAGGGCCTATTCCGATTCGATAGGGCCCATTCCGTCTCAATAAGCCCAATTCGACGAATTAAGAACCAATTTTTTTTGGAAAAAATCGTTCCGATTGGGTCAATAATCAGTCGCAAGCCGACGTTATAGGCTCCATCACGACCCAATAAGGTCCAATTAGATGAAATAAGGCCGAATTTTTTTTTCGATCCGATATGGTCAAATTCGCAATAATCTGTTCCAAACTGATTTCATAGGGCCCATCCCGACTTGATAAAGAACAATTCGATGGAATAAGGCCGTTTTACTTTCGAAAAAATTGACCCGATCGATCCA